GGGGGGGGGGGGAGGCACAGACAGCTCCGCCAGGATTCGGTTCCACCCTATCGGTGCCATCACGAAGAAGGCGGTAATTCCATGGAACACGATTCCAATTGTTGGGAAAGTTCAAAAGGGACCAGCAGCTACACACAAGCACATAACACACAGACACACAAACACACACCCCTCCCCAGCAGACCTGTTACTTACTAAGCAGTGCCGTGACATTTTCAGCGGGACGCCATCCGTCTCCGTGGCCCCGTTAGGTCCAGATCCTTCTTTCCTCCGTTTCCTGGAATTGAGCCTGGCTGATCCTGGGGGCTCCATCCTGTGGATCGCGGCAGGGAACTCAGGTGGAAAGACCTGGAGAAAGGAAGCAGGTGGTTTTAAGTCCCAGGGGCGAAGAGGGCAGCTGCCGAGGGGCCAGGCCAACACGACGACAGGGGCGAAGCGCGGCTTGTTGGGGGTGGCAGCTGTCGACAAGCGAAACGGGGACTCTTTCTTGCCCTCTTGAGCTGAGCCACTCTTATCTGCGGCTGTGACAAGAGGGTAATAAAGACCAGCTGGCTGCCAGGAAGGTCTTTCTCCCATGACCCGCCAGGAACGCTGGAAGGGGGGGGAGATGGACACCCCCATCTTGCTTATTTTAGCCTTGGCCAAAGACCATGAGCACTGATCCTGTACGTTGAACATGATACCAGGGTTCATGATGTAGCCTGTCTGCAATTTGTGGGCACGCTGAGAGATGGAGGAAAGGTTCTGATGGGAGCAGAAAGGCAGACGGGCTCTGGGGAACCTGCCCTTCCACCCCTGCCCGGGGATGGCAGAGCCAGCAGAGGCCTCCTCCCACCACAAGGGTGTAAGGAGAAGAGGAGAGACTCCCTTATTCAGGAAGTCCAGCACACACACATACTGTACAAGGTCCTCAATACAGCCTAACGGGCAGCAAGGCCAGTCCTTCTCCCACAAATGCCTACATCTCCCAGGAAGCAGCTGACCACTTTCCTTTTCACACAACAAGCAAGCCTGAGACGCTTGGAAGACAGGCCCCGTTTCCAGGCGAGCAAAATTCAGGGGTATGTGTTTATTTAACCCTAAAGGTTCTATAAAAATGCCCGTGGACCTCCTTGCAGTCCAAGGGACTCTCAAGAACACAGAAGCACCAATTCTTCGGCGGTCATCCTTCTTTATGGTCCAGCTCTCACTTCCAGATATCACTACTGGGAAAACCATAGCTTTGACTATGTGGACCTTTGTCGGCAAGATGATGTCTCTGCTTTTTAAGATGCTGTCTAGGTTTGCCATCACTTTCCTACCTAGATTAAGCATCAAGATCCAGTTACTTCAGATGCTCTGCTGCCTTATAATACACACTGGGAATCCTACCAAGGACACGTATCCTTGTGGGATTTCAGTGGATGGAAAAATAAAACTTCCCGTGTTTAAGAGCTGCAGAGTCAGAGTTTCTTAAAAGCTGCAGAGGAACCTTTATAGTAGGGATGCTGGTAAGTCCTTGAATCCAAACCCCAGTCTGAGACTTGGGTACCAAGTCCGAAGTCTGAGTCCTTATTAAAGACAAGCTCTTTTCCCCAGAAAAAAGGGGAGGGGGGCTGGCTTCTGAGTCATGAGCTGAGTTTGAGTCATTGGAGAGAGAAAAAAAGAGCAGAGTCCATTCAGAGCCCTATTGAATCACTGGGATGACTCGACAAAGTCCAACTTGACAGCAAGCCTGCCACTTGATTCCATAGCTTTGACTATGCAGACCTTTGTCGGCAAGCTGATGTCTCTGCTTTTTAAGATGCTGTCTAGGTTTGCCATCGCTTTCCTCCCTAGATTAAACATCAAGTTCCAGTTACTTCTGATGCTCTGCTGCCTTATAATACACACTGGGAATCCTACCAAGGACACGTATCCTTGTGGGATTTCAGTGGATGGAAAAATAAAACTTCCCGTGTTTAAGAGTCGCAGAGCCAGAGTCTCTTAAAAGCTGCGGAGGAACCTTTATAGCAGGGATGCTGGTAAGTCCTTGGAGCCAAACCCCAAATCTGAGACTTGGGTACCAAGTCCCAAGTCTGAGTCCTTATTAAACACAAGCTCTTTTCCCCAGAAAAAAGGGGAGGGGGGTGGCTGGCTTCTGAGTCATGAGCTGAGTTTGAGTCATTGGAGAGAAAAAAAAGAGCAGAGTCCAGTCAGAGCCCTACTGAGTCACTGGGATGTTTCGACGAAATCCACCTTGACAGCAAGCCTGCAACTTGATGTGCAATTCCTGCTTTAAAGCAAAATGAAGTGGGAGAGAGTCAGCAGCGCCTTCTGCCTGCCTGAGAAATTCAGCAAGCTTGACCGACCCAACACACTGCAGAAGAGCACTCAGATCCTCCTAAGGTTCTCAAAAGCTGCCCGGGGCGTGCCAAGCCGAGGAAACAATGAAATGGTTCTGGTTATTTTTACCAGCACAGCTTGACAGCAAGCCTGCCACTTGATTTGCAATTCCTGCTTTAAAGCAAAATGAAGTGGGAGAGAGTCAGCAGCTCCTTCCGCCTGCCTGAGAAGTTCAGCCAGCTTGACCAACCCAACACCCTGCAGAAGAGCACTCAGATCCTCCTAAGGTTCTCAAAAGCTGCCCGGGGTGTGCCAAGCCGAGGAAACAATGAAATGGTTCTGGTTATTTTTACCGGCATGGCCTTTCTCTAAAGCCTCTTCAGAGGGTCACGGAGGACCTACAGACCATCCAGGAAAGTGGTCTCCCTTACCTCCCAAGTTGTGTTTCTTTCCTCTCCACCTCACCCCTTTCTCAAGAAAGCAAAAAGTGGCCCATGTGGTTCTTCCCGGCCATTTGATTGGATAGAGACTGGTCCTGCAGCGTTTGAGATCTACCAGGGAGAATGTAATCTAGCAGCAATCACAGACTCAATCAACAATTTTGATGTTTCTTGTTTGATAGTTTTTCATTTTCTTTTGCTGCGTAGCAGCTGATTCCCTCTCTCCCCCTCTACTGTTGTGACATGCCCCGGCCACATTGCGGCCGCAAGCACCGGCAGTGTATCTTGAAACTTTGGAATTTCTTTTAAAATAAAAAATTGCACTGGGCCGCATTACGAGCTGACCTGGGCCGCATGCGGCCCTCGGGCCACAGGTTGGACAAGCCTGCTCTAAAGCCTCTTCAGGGGGTCACAGAGGACCTACAGACCATCCGGGAAAGTGGTCTTCCTTCCCTCCCAAGTTGTGTTTCTTTCCTCTCCATCTCACCCCTTCCTCCCGAAAGCAAAAAGTGGCCCATGTGGTTCTTCCCGGCCATTTGATCCTTGCTCACGGACAGCCCCTCCCAGTCCAGAAGCGCAACTCACGGGCGATGAAAGGGACCAACCACCCTGACGGGAAACACCCGCTGAGGACCAGCTCATGTAAAATCAACGCAACAAGCGGAAAGAAACAGGCACCTCCCTTCCCAGAAGCAGCTCTGCTTCCTAACCCACATTCCCTCCCCACCCCGGCTGTCAGCTGGGCTCACTCGCTGGCCAGCCTCCTCGGGCGTTAAAGGCTATTCTGTGCCAACAATGCCCTTCTGCCATTTACGCGGCTGTCTCCAGACAAGAGAATACAAAGGGATGCCTTGATTAAAAATGGAATCACGCAGAAAGCAGACCGGGAGCATGTCAATTGCCTGGGAGGAGTCCCACTTGCCCGACTTCCACCACCAATCAAGGTCTGCGGAGAAGACTCTCCAGCAAAGCTGGACAGGCATCCATGGGTGTCCAAGCGGAAACCATCAGACTGGAGCCCAGGTGGGATGACACCCGGCTCGCTCCCTGCAGAATGTCAATGCCTTCCTTCGGGCACTTATGCCCTTTGCTAGTCTTGCTTCGCTCACACGTCTTTTCCTTTTCAGACGGGATGCTGTTTTTCTGCGTGCTCTGCTAGCAGCACACTACTGGACCATAAAGACGTCTGAGCGCCGAAGAATGGGTGCTTCTCTTTTCCTTTTCAGACGGGATGCTGTTTTCCTTTGTGCTCTGCTAGCAGCGTGCTACTGGACCATAAAGAAGTCTGAGCGCCGAAGAATTGGTGCTTTTGAATTGTGATGCTGGATGAGGCACTTGAGAGTCCCCTGGACTGCAAGGAGAACAAACCTATCCGTTCTGAAGGAAATCAACCCTGAGTGCTCACTGGAAGGACAGATCCTGAAGCGGAGGCTCCAATCCTTTGGCCATCTCATGAGAAGAGAAGACTCCCTGGGAAAGACCCTGATGTTGGGAAAGTGTGAAGGCAGTGGAAGATGAGAGGGCCTGGCAGGCTCTGGTCCATGGGGCCACGAAGAGTCGGACACAAGTTAATGAGTAAACAACAAAACAAGCAGCACGCTACCCCGACGTGACTTAATGACTAAACAACAAAACAAGCAGCACGCTACCCTCAGCTTCTATCTTTCTCTCTGGGCCCTGGGGGACTCCATTTATAACACTTTCTTTCTCCCACGTCCATATATGTGTGTGTGTGCGCGCGCACATGCGCATACGCACCTGTGTACCTGGAAACAAAGGTTTGTATGCTCCCCAGGTGGCGAAGCAGATGGTGGGCCACAAAACGGCCACCACCAGAAAATAGAAAGCTGCCTTCCCCACTGTTTTGAACCAACTCTTTCCTCTATTGCTAACGTGGGCTGGTGATCACAGCTTTTAAAAAGGAGACCCAGAGTGCACAAAGAAACAGATAAAAACTTGCTGGTTAAGAGTTGGATGTTGAAATATATAAAGGTCACATACAATCACACCCTTTTGAAACACATGCGTGGCGATCTGGTAATCTGACCAAAATATTGAGAGGGTGACCAATGAAGAGGTACTAAGAAAAATGAACCAAGACCAAGAAACAAATGGGCTATGGTCACAGAGCCAAGAATGGAAAGGACAGACTGCTATATCCCAGATAAAATCAGTGGGAAAAGAAGTGCGGGAAGGAGAGAGACTCGTTGGCTTAAGGACGTGGAAGACGGATTGGGTGGATTCAACACAACCCCACTGTACAGAGCGGCTTCATCCAAAATTAGAACAACTACGTATGATCACATCCAAGTTCCAGCGAGAGAGGAAAGAGGAGACGAGAGAAATGCCAGCCATGGAATGAGGAAGCAGCCGGTCCTTTAGTGCAAAGTGTGTTGAGAAGAATCTGTCCCAAGAGAAAAAGGGACACGTGTTTTCCACACCAAAGGTCCCCGAGTTCAATCTCTCGTTGCTTAAGCAGGTTATGAGAGGGTCAGAGGGTTTCTCTTGACATAAGGCAGCTTCCTATGCCGGGGAAATCTTGCTGCTTCTGGTGTGTGAGAAAGGGATCGGCTGTGCTTGTCTACCCACTGAAGCTCCGAACTCTGCTTTATCTCAACAAGATATGCTGCAGACCCCAAACGCAAAGAGTCTGTGAACGTGATCTTCCTATTCCAGCAGAGAAACTGGGTGTCTTGGCATGTCAATGCGGCTGGCTCAACCGCAGGCCAGAATTGTGAACCATACCGCGCTGCCAATTTTGCAACGGCTCTTTTGCTGACTCACACACCACCTGAGCAAACACCCACACCTTGATCTTGTATTGTATCAGGTACCTCCTCAGGAAGCTCCTAATGCAGAAGGCAGGCAGGGATAAAAAAAAAGGTAAAAATGATTTTCCCCCTCTCAGAACCTGAAACGGAATGGTGGGAAATTTGGGATGGTTGAAAGGAAGCATCTTTTTATGCCAGGCACAATTAAACCGTGGAAATTGCTAAACCACAGAGAGTGGTGACAGCTACTGACATCTACCCCTTCAATAGGCCACTGCACAAATTCATGGAATAGAAGGCTACTCATGTCGCCTACTCAGAGTAGCCACATATTATCTCCAGGACTAAGGTCTGTATAGAACCAAAGAATAACCCTAGACTAATGGTGTTGGAAGGGGCCTATAAGGCCATCAAGTCCAAACCCCTGATCAGTGCAGGAATCCAAATCAAGGCAGATCCGACAAAAAGCTGTCCCGAGGTAATGGGTTCCGTTGTCATGCTCAGCAAACCCCCACACCTTGATCTTGTATCGTATCAGGTACCTCCTCAGGAAGCTCCTAATGCAGAAGGCAGGCAGGGATAAAAAAAGGTAAAAATGATTTTCCCCCTCTCAGAACCTGAAACCTAGTTGCCCTCCTCTGAACTGGCTTCAGTTTGTCGACATCCTTCTTCAAGCAGGAATCCAAATCAAGGCAGATCCGACAAAAAGCTGTCCCGAGGTAATGGGTTCCGTTGTCATGCTCCTCTAACAGTTAAGAAGCTTTTCCTGATACTCAACCTAAATCTGGCTTCCTGTAGCTTAAGTCCATTGTTTTTTCTCCAGGCTAAACATGCCCAGTTCTCTCAGTTTTTTTTTCTCCCAGGGCTTAGTTTCGAGCCCCCCTGATCATCCTAGTTGCCCTCCTCTGAACTGGCTCCAGTTTGTCGACATCCTTCTTCAATTGTGGTGTCCATAATCAGAGACAGTACTCAAGTTGAGGCCTAAGCAGTGCTGAACAGAAGGGGATGAGTACCTCAGGGGATTTGGAGACTACGCCTCTGTTAATACCCTGTTTCCCCGAAAATAAGACCTAACCTGAAAATAAGCCCCAGTATGATTTTTCAGGATGCTCGTAATCTAGGCCCTATTCCAAAAATAAGCCCCAGTTCAGTGAAACCCCACCCTCCACCCTTGTGCAGCAACCAGAAGAAGATGACATGACTGTATCTGAATAAATGTAGGTTGTTGTACATGAAAAAAAATAAAAATAAAATAAAACTGCCCCTGAAAATAAGCCCTAAGGTGTTTTATGGAGCAAAAATTAATATAAGACCCTGTCTTATTTTCGGGGAAACATGGTATATCCTAAAATCGTATTTGCCTTTTTTGCAGCCACATCATACTTTTGGCTCCTATTCAGCTTTTGATCTACAATTAATTCCAAGATCTCTCTCACTCGTAGTATTACTCAGCCAAGTACACCACATCTTGTAATGGTGCATTTGGTGTTTTTCACCTAGGTGTAGAACTTTGCCTTTATTCCTATTAAATTTGCCAGATCTGCTTTGTGTATGCCTCTGTGTGTGCCTGCAGTCCTCCTCCTGTCACAGACATCCGCTAGGGTCACTGTAGGGACAGAATCCTGGTCGAACCAGATATCTGGTCTCATCTAGCTGGGTTGTTTTTAATGCAACTCGTGCCTCTCCCAAAGAAAAGCCCAGTGGAATGCAGAGAACTTCAGGCATTTAGAAGCATATTAAGATGGTCATCCTGAGGCATGCTGACCGGACTTCAAAAAACAGCAGAGAAAGGAAGAGAAGAGGCATGGCAGCAGCAGAAGGGGACAGTTCAGCCAGAATTTGGGCTGGGGCCTTGCTAGGAAACCCCCCACAAAATAATGGGAGTATCTAATCCTTTAAGCCATGCTGTAGAGCCCGAGAGGACTTCTCTAAGGTCTTGAGTTTGCATGTACTTTTTGGGCCCTTAAGAAAACTGCTGGAATTGGGAAAGTCTCCAAAGTACAGTATACATCTATATTTTTTTTTAGTTTAGCCTCTCCTTATCCAGATACGGAGGATGATAAAAATAAACCCCATCCCCTGTCAACACCGGGTGAGACTGGATGGAGGTTGCGACCCAACAAGGATAGGCTGGTTTAAGCCCATCTTGTGGTCGTTATAGTGGACAAGATGCCGGAAACAGTCTCTAGGATCCTTTGCCATCTTGCTGAACAAACACAAAAATGACAGCGAAAGGAAGG